TTTACACTCGTGACGTCAGCTTTTATTAACATTCGTGACGTCAGCGTTTGTTTACACTCGCGATGTCAGCTTTTATTTACACTGGAGACGTCATCGTTCATTTGTCTCCCTGCCAGGTATTAAAGACTCTACTTCAGGTAACATTCACCCTTCTACCTGTACTGCATCACTAATGAGTCCCAACGTAAACTAACGAGGAAATATAACAACTCCAGAAATAGCGATAATTATTTCACTTATTTCTCTAGATTGTGACCCCGAAACAATTCAGACTTAGGAACAGACTTTACTTAAAAAATATATGATAAGGAATTGATTTTTTTTACTATAATGACTGTACGTTTGTATGTCATAGGTACATTTGTAAATACTTTTTTTTTTTACATATATTGAGAATTTTTTACAATTATATATTTTTTTTTACATATATTGATTTTTTTTTTACAATTATAGATATTTTTTTTTCATTTTATCATTACTATTTACAAAGGTTTCTTAAAATTTTTTACAAATCACCATTTCCGAAACTCGTTAAGTCTATAAAAGCGTTGTTCAATTCTGTCTTGTAAAAATTCCTTACGCTAGGGTGACGACATGTTCATATATAACAATGATGAACACTTTGAACACGAAATAAACAAAAACTAATATTCTCTCCACAAATTCATGAACAATTGAACAAAAACAAACGATACCCTAATAAACGCCTATCACTAATGAACAATAACAAAGAAGAACACATCAAGATTTAACTGTTCACACGTAACAAAAGTGAACATGTTAACATAGGCTTACCACCATCACTACACTTAACTAAATTCACCTTTATAAAACAGGTGCCAAGATCATAATGTTTATAATTGGAAGGATGATGGCTCAGCTTAACGCCACACTAGACTTGCTCTGTGATGCCCTCAGCCACTCACCCGCGTCAGGAGGCAGGGGAGGGGGTAGTGGTGGTGGTGGTGGTGGTGGGGTGTAGTGGTGGTGGTGGTGGTGGGGTGGTAGTGGGGGAGGGTAGTGGGGGATAGTAGTGGTGGTGGTGGTGAGGAAAAAAGAGAGAGAGATCACACCACCTCTCCCTCACTCTCACTCCTCCCCTCTCCATCACTCCCTCATCTCCTCCCTCACTGGAGACCAACTCTACGTATATGACCGACTCTTTCTCCTACCCTTCCACCCACCCCTCCTACCCACCCCCCACCCACCTACCCACCCACCCCTCCTACCCCAACCCACCACAAAACCCACCCACCCCTCCACCCCACCCCACTACCCCACCCACCCACCCCCACCCACCTACCCCACCCACACCCCACCTACCCCACTCACCCACCACCCACCCACCCCTCCCCACACCCCCCCCCACCGTATTAACGTCGGGGTGAATGACTATCAGTCTATATCTCAACAGGACCGACAAACACAACTCCTTCACACTAAATAATTCCTTGGATTATTTATCTGTGTAATTATTATTATTTTTATTAATTATCATCGTGCCTCAAAAATAGGACATAGCTCGCGTTTAACAAAGTACTGAGTGTGGTGTGAGTGTGTGAGTGTGAGTGAGTGTGTGAGTGTGTGTGTGTGTGTGTGTGGAGTGTGTGTGTGAGTGTGTGAGTGAGTGTGGTGAGTGTGTGAGTGTGAGTAGTGTGTGTGTGGTGGTGAGTGTGTGTGTGTGTGTGTGAGTGGTGAGTGAGGTGTGTGGTGTGGAGTGTGTGGGTGTGAGTGTGAGTGTGGTGAGTGTGTGGTGTGTGGTGTGTGTGTGGTGAGTGTGTGTGTGGTGTGTGTGTGGTGTGTGTGTGTGTGGTGGTGTGTGTGTGTGAGTGTGTGTGTGTGTGAGTAATGTAAACTGGTTATATGGAGTTTGCTGTTTCTACACATGTTCATTATATACACAGGAGTGATACCATGGTGGTTTAGTTGGGTTAGGTTAGGTTAGGTTAGATACGACACTGTTCTGGTAGCTAAGGTTCTAGAACTTTACGGAAAAAACAAAACTAACTCATTATTGTGTGTGACTTAAGGTGTTGTGGTTGTTATTTAAGAATATTGAGGCAAGACTGTTGTTATTAGCTCCAAGAACTTCCTGTAGTGTACATGTTGAAGTCTTTATTTTACCTAACGTGTTATTCTTTTTACTCTTGAAATATTGATTATGGAGTCGCATTTAATATTCTTCTGCACCACTAAGACTCTCTCACCCAGTTTACACCAATATGCTGTAATACAAATGGTTCTTAGCTTTTAATTTACACCTTAAACTCCACAAAGCTTTTAATTTACACCTGAAACTCCTCAAAGCTTTTAATTTACACCTTAAACTCCTCAAAGCTTTTAATTTACACCTGAAACTCCACACTGTTCACACTATACACTTCCCTTGTACACCTTCACACCTCAGCTCTCACAGTCTAAGCGGTGGCAGAGTGTTCCGAATTATCGACGCCGCCATTACGCATCGAGGAATCATCTTGGACATCCTCAACGGAATCTGTAGGCAGGTCCTGGTTGGGTTGTTCACCTGGCTGCACCTCCTTCCTATGCATGATGCGGTACCTACTCACCACTCGACTCCATTTGATCACGTTTCGATTCTTCAGATCTCCTGGGAGCCCTCCATGTTACTCAGGGGTACAAGGTTCTCTGTGGAGGGATGGAAGGAAGGATGGAAGGAGAGATGGAAGGAGAGAGGGAGGAACCATTGATTAATTACAGTTCTAGACAGTTTTCTATCATAGGAACTTAAGTTGTATTTCTCCGTTTTCTATGAGGTAGTCAGAAGAGATGGGAGGGGTAACTATAACACAAATGTGGTTATGACTCCCTGTGGTGCCAATGAGAAGAAATAAACAGATAAGACGTTTGAGAGATGGATTATGAGCAAGACGTTTGAGAGATGGATTATGAACAAGACGTTTGAGAGATGGATTATGAGCAAGACGTTTGAGAGATGGATTATGAGCAAGACGTTTGAGAGATGGATTATGAGCAAGACGTTTGAGAGATGGATTATGAGCAAGACGTTTGAGAGATGGATTATGAGCAAGACGTTTGAGAGATGGATTATGAGCAAGACGTTTGAGAGATGGATTATGAGCAAGACGTTTGAGAGATGGATTATGAGACAGTTGGATGAATTACTTAATATTTACCTTAGAATTTAGGATAATGTTGTTAACTACAGACCGTTTATGACTGAACCTGGATTAGATTATATTACCTAACCTAACCTAACCTAACCTAACCTAACCCGAATTAGATTTTATTAAATAACCTAACCTGACCTGACCTGATCTGACCTGACCTAACCTAACCTGACCATACTGTATACCTGAACTCAGATGACCTCCAATTACTATTCATGTACTCTGGCTTCCCATTCATAACCTGTACTCTGGCTCCCCTTCATCCCCTGTACTCTGACCCTGAACTCACCTGTACTCTGACCCTGGACTGACCTGTACTCTGACCCTGGACTGACCTGTACTCTGACCTTGGACCACCCTGTACTCTGACCCTGGCCTCACCTGTACTCTGACCCTGGACTGACCTCTACTCTGACCCTGGACTCACCTGTACTCTGACCCTGGACTCACCTGTACTCTGAGGCATGATGCTGGCCTTACTCCTTGACCTGAGTTTCTTGATCCAACCTCCACCGAACTCAGTCTTGAGGTCAGCCTGGTGAGGATCCTCGGGTCGACCTTCTGTTCTCATGTACCTATAGCCTTATCTGAGCACAAGTTACCTGAAGGAGGGAGAGTACATGTTACCTGAAGGAGGGAGAGTACATGTTACCTGAAGGAGGGAGAGTACATGTTACCTGGAAGGAGGGAGAGTACATGTTACCTGAAGGAGGAGAGTACATGTTACCTGAAGGAGGAGAGTACATGTTACCGAAGGAGGGAGAGTACATGTTACCTGAAGGAGGGAGAGTACATGTTACCTGAAGGAGGGAGAGTACATGTTACCTGAAGGAGGGAGAGTACATGTTACCTGGAGGAGGGAGAGTACATGTTACCTGAAGGAGGGAGAGTACATGTTACCTGAAGGAGGAAAAAAGTGTACTGTCAAGGTCGAGGGAAGGAAACTATAGGGGAAAAAAGACTAAGGGAGGAAACTATTGGGGGAAAAAAGGACTGAATGAAGGGAAAGAAAGAGGTAGAAATGAACGAAAATTGTGGAGAGAGACAGAATGAAGGAAGAAGGTTAATAAGAATGATAAAGGGTGAGAGAAAATGAATAGAGAAAAATAAAGGTGAAGGAATAAAAGGAAAAGGGTAAGGAAGAGAAACGAACGAAAGGGGGTAAAGAGGATGAGAGGATGAAAGATAAATAGGGTGAGAAAGGTGGAGAGGGAGAGACTGAGAAATGGGGGGAGACAAGGAAAAGAGGGAGAGAGAGAGACTGTGAAAGAGGGAGAGAGAGAGAGAGACTGAGAAAGAGGGAGAGAGAGAGAGACTGAGAAATGGGGGAGAGATGAGAAAGAGGAGAGAGAGAGAGAGAGAGAGAGAGATGTTACAATGATTAACTTAAGGAAAAAAAATTTTTGTTTTTATATTTCCTCTCTCTCTCTCTCTCATACACGGGTCCTGCTGGTAAACATATGAGTCGTCGTCTTTTCTCTGATTCCTTTGTTTATGAGTGAAATAAGCTACATGAGGGACCTATTTTGTTAGTATATAATATAATACAGATATAGGTGATATAACAGTCTAATATATGTGTGGTTGTATAGACTGTAGGTAGAGTGTGTTGTAAACTAGTGGCTGGTTATATGATCTCAACTATAAGAACATTGGTACTATAAATTCACCTTTTCTACCGAGTTTGAACATAAGGGAACGAAAATAATCCAAAAAAAATAAAATATTGGTAAATACAGAGTGTCCATAAATGATTACCCCGATTAAAGCATATTTAGGGTCACCACTTATGAACACTCTGTATTCTAATGCGACTCAGAAAGTAATAATTCAATCTTACATTTGAACTTGAAGACGGCGACTTAAACAATTATCTTCACAAGGAGGTTCAGAGGTGACGGAGTTCCAGAGGTTCGACTCATGTTTCGAATTAGTTTAGCCAGTCCGAACTTCCACTCGGTGTCACTCTTGGCTTGGATCCTCTGGTAGGTGTCGGACATCATGGCAATTAAGAGGTTGATGAGCACCACTACTGTCACCATCTGGTAAATCCCAAACACGATCTGTGGTGGAGAGAGAGAGAGAGAGATAGAGAGAGAGAGAGAAAAAATGGGGTGTTGATCAAGTAAGATGGATCAAGTTTCGAATTTTAGAGAAATTTTGCAAAGGAGGAAGAAATGATAACAAAAAAGTGTATCACAGTCAGATAGAGATTGTTTCAAGGCTTCATATTTACAGTGGAATTGCCCGAATCTTCGGAATGTATATATGAGATGTATTGAGGAAGCTAACATATAATGAACCATAACAGAAACTATATCAGGACAAGGGTTCGAGCTCCAGAAGGAGATCTAAGCCCAGTGATCACTGAGTTTACGGAGGTGATCAATGAATTCCAGAATGAACACTGTGACTCCTGTTGCTCAGTAAGTCGTCAAATAAGTCCGTTCATATTGTACACACTCGACCCCCATCAGTAGTTATGTGTTATGACCCTCAGTAGTATATGTACTGCACACTCAGACCCCCATCAGTAGTTATGTGTTACTGTACACACTCAGCCCCAATCAGTAGTTATGTACTGTACACACTCAGACCCCTCACCACCCCAGACCCCCATCAGTAGTTATGTGTTACTGTACACACTCAGACCCCCGTCAGTAGTACTACAGACCTTCATGAGGGATTGGCTCCAGTCGGGGTGGCTGTAGAGGAGCATGTAGTCAGGTTCCACCAGGCCGAAGAGAGAAAAGAAGAGCATCTATTCGTCTGTAGCGGCGTCTGGATGGGCGCCTCTGAGGGTATTGTAGAAGGTTGATGAGAAAAATAATTGAGGCATCAACGTAAGAATGTTAGACCATAGATAATGTTAATGAGTCTTAGCTTTATATTCATTGTTTATATTCCCATGGTGCTTCAACTACTAGGGTTATTAAGCACCGTTCACTAGGTCTTAGTTTTGCTTCACTGGTTATTAGCATTCACATCTTAGTTTAGGTGCTTCAACTACCAGGGTTATTAAGCACCGTTCACTGAGTCTTAGTTTTAGGTGCTTCAACTACCAGGGTTATTAAGCACCGTTCACTGGGTCTTAGTTTTAGGTGCTTCACTACCAGGTTATTAGCACCGTTCACTGTTTTTTAGGTGCTTCAACACAGGTTATACCGTTCCTGAGTCTTAGTTTTGGGTGCTTAACTACCAGGGTTATTAAGCACCGTTCACTAGGTCTTAGTTTTAGGTGCTTCAACTACCAGGGTTATTAGCGTTCACTGAGTCTTAGTTTAGGTGCTTCAACTACCAGGTTATTAAGCACCGTTCACTAGGTCTTAGTTTGGTGCTTCAACTACCAGGGTTATTAGACACCGTTCACTAGTCTTAGTTTTGGGTGCTTCAACTACCAGGGTTTGCACCTTCTCTTATTTTGGTCTTCAACTCAGTATTAAGCACCGTTCACTGGTCTTAGTTTTCAAAATAAGCACCGTTCACCAGTCTTGTTTTTAGGTGCTTCAACTACCAGGGTTATTAAGCATCGTTCACCAGGTCTTAATCTCCACAATAGACCTCTTATAAAGTTGGTATAAGCCTCGTGTTTATTTTCTCCAAGAAGGTAAGACCCTTGAAGAGCTCTCGGTAGGTAGGAAGAAAAGAAGCTTCTGTGTTCCTCCAGCCAAGTAATTAACTCAACAATACACCGGAAGAAACTCGCGGCAGAAAAGAAATATTTTTCCTGGTAAACTCACGATTATATTTTATTAATTGATATTATTATTTTGCAAAAGGTAATGACGATAATTTCAAGATAGAGAAAAAGATATCATATGGTAGTTTATTTCGATCAACTAATTAATGTGACTCACCTGCTGGAGGGTAACCTGTACTCTCACTGGTAATGTTCAGGTCAGTATAGATAGGTCTGAGGGGGTTATAGATCGCTGCCACATACATAGAAAAACCCGAAGACGAATATAGCCAAAATAACGAGAAATCTAGCCAAGTCGACCATTAGTTTCCCGATGATGACCGTCCAGGGCCCGAACAGGTGGTGGAAGGAGAGGAAGTCAAGTAGCTGTACGGACGCCAGCATAAGCCCATTGCGATGGCCAGCAAGTTGTTTCTAGAGAGAGGTTAGGTTAGGTTAGTTTACGAGAGATGTTTTGGTTGTGTGGAGGTGTTATGGGAAGTTGTAGTGAAAATATAATTGTATCTCCTTCCTCCTCCTCCTCCTCCTCCTCCTCCTCCTCCTCCTCCTCCTCCTCCTCCTCCTCCTCTAATAGGATTACAGAGCCTTTCCTTCCCTCCAATTATATACTCCCTGATGTAATTATAGGCACCTCTTTTTTCCTTACCTCCAATAATTAGTCCATCCCCCCATTTAAAATAATTATAGCTCTTAATTATTTCTTACCAGTTTTTAGAATTATAGTACTAGAATTATTCTCTTTATATGATAATTATAGTACAAGAATTATTTTTTTGTATGATAATTAATTCTTCCCTTCTTCCAAATATTATAGATATATCATCTCTGAACAGGTTATAGCTACCCTTCAAAATAGAATTATAGGTCAGAAGGTTAGAAGGGTTTGCTTATTCTGCCTCCAAAGATAAGCAAACCCATTCTTCAATTATTGTTTTTCTCCTTAAAATAACTCTCCTCTTCCTCTCCCTTCCCTCTCACCTTATATACAACATCCCTCCCAATCATCCACCTTCCCCTCTCCTTCCCTCTCTCCCTTCCCTCTCACCTTAAACATCTCCTCCCTCCTTCCTCCTTCTTTTCCCTCTCCTCTCTCACCTTATATACAACATCTCCCTCCCCTCCTCCTTCCCTCTCACTTCCCTCTCACCTTATATACAACATCTCCAGGAGCAGTTCAAAGTTCCTCATGTAGAAGAAGCCAACTAGATGCACCAATATGCCCAGGCCGCTGAACACCAGTACAAACACCTTGATCCATCCTAAGCCAGCCAGGTCACCAGGGTTAGTCAGTTCCATCACCAGGTTCCCACTTAACCACAGCAGTAGCAGCCATTCAGCCTGACGGAGAGCCAGTGATAAGGTGGTAGTAGTAGTAGTAGTAGTAGTAGTAGGAATGCAGTCGTAGTAGTGACTAAAATACTAAAGCACTTAACATAAACCCTGACTAAAACACTAAACATAAAACTCCTGACTAAAACACTAAACATAAACCCTGACTAAAACATAAACCCTGACTAAAACACTAAACATAAACCCTGACTAAAACACTAAACATAAACCCTGACTAAAACACTAAACATAAACCCTGACTAAAAACATAAAACCAACTCCAATAATCTCTCACCAGTTTGGAATGAGTGAGGTGTTCTCCCAGATGGTCGTAAAGGTGTTACCACTGTGAGTAAGCACAGGTAGATGTGGAGACGAGTAAGCCATGAACCCCACTTGACAACACTCGTTGTACATGTGTCCTAGGGGCATGCTGCAAGAGTACAAGGCAAATATGAAACACAAGGCAAATAGAAAATATAAAACAAAATATATGAAATATGAGATGGAAATGAGAAGAGCACAAAGGAAATATGAACACAGTGAAATAGCAGCAACAAGGAAATATGAGAGTCCAAGGACACATGAGAGTACAAGGAATATAAGAGTACAGAAATGAGAGTACAGGGGAAATATGAGAGCTAGGAAATATGAGAGACAGGGAAATATAAGAGTACAAGGGAAATATGAGAGTACAGGGGAAATGGGGTGATAACAAGGTAGGGAAGTTATAGTATTGGTTGACATAAATAAAGTGTTTGTTTGTCTGAAAGGAATTGTTGTTGTTTGTTGTTGTTGTTGTTGTTGTTGTTGTTGTTGTTGTTGTTGTTGTTGTTGTTATTATTGTTGTTGTTGTTGTTGTTGTTGTTGTTGTTGGTGGTTTGTTGTTGTTGTTGTTGTTGTTATTGTTGTTGGTTGTTGTTGTTGTTGTTGATGGGATGGATAGAAAGGTGATTTCTGGGAATTAGAATGAGGGATAAATAGATAGATAGATAGATAGATAGTGTTACGACCGTGTCGTATTTTTTTTTTTATATATAACATGCCCCATGTTCCATATTATTCCGTAATGATGTGTTAAATTTACTATTATATATTCTAGTCACTACACTCGTGCTGTTAAGGTTTTAATCATTATTTGTTCGCCCATCTTGTTTCATTTTGTATTGTAACCAGCATTCTTTGTTCTCAACGACCATCTGCATCGTTAAACGACCCACCGGCGGGTCGCAGTTGAGCCCTTATATAGGACCCACCAACTGACTTGAGTTAGTTCAGTCCTCTTGTCATACAGTTCACATCCTTTGAGTGACACTCTTCACCTGTTACTTATACTTAATTTATTTGTGTTGTTCCTGTCGCCACCAATGTGGTATATCTATGTGAGTACCTATTTATGTCTCTATTTATGTCCATCAGTATTTGCTTAGTTGTATTCAAGTAATTCAGTGTTGTTTCACGTTAGTTAATTTCAGTGTTAGTTTTATATGTTTATGCAGTGTTAACGTAATCCAATGCTTTATTTTTATTCTTTAGATGTTTCGATGTTTAGTATCATTTGTGTCTTAAAAGTTTCTGATGGTGAATCAATTTGTTGTGACAGCCACGAGGCTCTTTATTGTGTTAATATTTAATTAATTAAATTCTTAAAGGTTTACTTTATTTATTTTTATTCTTTTATTTTACTACTTTTTTGTTTGGTTACGCCTAGAACCTGGATATTAAAGTAAATTAAGAGACGGCGTAACAATAGATAGATACGAAGAGAAAGAGGAGGAAAGATTAGCAATGTGTCGTAGGAGAGAGAGAGAGAGAGAGAGAGAGAGATATATATAGAGAGATAATATTCATATCGGATAGAGTGAAGGTACGTGAAGGTAGACAATTTAAAGACCTACCTGAAGAAGATGTTGACCTGAAGGTAGACAATATGGAGGACTTACCTGAAAAAGATCCAGACGGGAGGTAGAAAGAGGAAGCAAGAAGAGAACAACCATCTTCCAGGCAGGCCACTCAAGGCTACCTGTCCACACGTCATAAAGGTATCTCTGTACGGCTGGGTGGGCGATCACCTGTGGGAGAGAGACGCCTTTGTAAACAAGAGTCTCAATGTGGCGATAAGGTCTCAACTCATAAACAGAGACCTTAGTTATATTGAAGTGTAGCCAAACATTATAACATCAACAAAACCTAGGTTATATTGAAGTGTAGCCAAACATTATAACATCAACAAAACCTAGGTAATATTGAAGTGTAGCCAAACATTATAACATCAACATCGCGAGACACACCTCCTTCTGCTCGTGCTCAATGAGAGTCAAGAAGGACGACGTTTCTGTTGTCAACGGCTCTCAGAAGCAGCCGGGGAGGAGCTGGCGGCGGAGATGGCTACCAACTCTGTGGCCAACGCCTCACTGAACAACGACGCTTCAAGCAGGTCTCGGCTACTCTCCTTCTCCTATTTGGGTGCCGCGGGGAGAGAGATAAGGGTCCTCATTTGCACAAAAACATGAGAATAAGGAAACTGCAGCGGGCCATACTGGACAGTCCCGTTTACACCCAACCCCTATCGTCATATATCCACCCAACCTGTGTTTGAAGCTGTCCAGCGTATTAGAGTTAATGATGATGTTTGGTAACTTGTTCCACTCATCCACTACTCTATTCCCAAACCAATGTTTACCTATCTTGCTCCTAAATCTAAATTTGTCTAATTTAAAACCATTGTTACGAGTTCGCTCCTGGTTGGATAGTTTGAGTACCTTTTGTATGTCACCTTTGTTTAGCCCTGACTTCCATTTATACACCTCTATCAGGCCGCCCTCACTCTACGTGGCTCTCAGGGAGTGCAAATCAGATGCTTTAACCTGTCTCTGTACTCAAGGTTACTAATGCCCGGGATTAGTCTTGTCATTCTCCTCTGGATTCTTTCCAATGATTCTATATCCATTCTGTAATACAGACCAGAACTAAACTGATAAATTTACTTTCATACATACATACATACATACATACATACATACATACATATAATGAGAGGGTAACATATAAAATAACTAAAACATTTTACGTCAATAGTAAAATGTTGGGGAAAAAGTTCAAATTCAGTTCAGGTTTTGAATTTTTTTTATGATGTTAATTTTATCCTGTGTGTAACTAAGGAAAGGTCAAAGGGCTTGGGGTGTGTGTTGAAAGGCTGATTAGAGACTCTCTCTCTCTCTCTGGTTTCTAGATAGGGATAAGTCGGGTTTTCGTTCTCATTTTTTCCGGTTTAAGTTATCGAGTGTGAAGAATGGCGACTATACTGTGTTCTGGTATGGCTGGGGAGATGAGACAAGGGTTTACTGCACACGGGTATAAGAAAATGTAAATAGGATAAAGATTTCTTCCGTAAAATGGGGAATAGGGGAGGAGGAGGAGAGAGAGAGAGAGAGAGAGAGAGAGAGAGAGAAATATATATACAGTATAAAAATAATATGCCTTAGAAAAAACAACATTTGATATAAACTCTTATACTTTATTCAATATAAACCTATAAGACAATTTATAAAAACAAACTATCTTCTCATTATCTAAATTATCACCAATGTTATCAAAATCAGCCAATTACCTTTGATTAGTTAGAGCCAATCAGTTAATCACCGTAAGATTAGTTGAATTGCTTTAGTATTACGACTGGATTAAGCGATATTAGCGTTTAGTAATTACTGAAAGATTAACTCGGATTGTTAAGATTAGCCAATTATTCTTTATAAAAAATAAATCAAAGTATAATAAGAAAAGGGTCACGTAACGATGGATCAAGTAGTTCAGTTATTACCCTCGTTAAACACCTCGTAAGCTAACGAAGGTAATGCCAAGGATTACACTTACCATAAATTAGTAAACACCAAGTAATGATAGGAACAGGAATTAGTGAAAGGCTATAACATTACCTATAATCCGAATACTATAATCATATTAGCTAAGAGACATTAAGCACCGCTCTACCAGTGAATTATAGGGATTAGTTGGCAATAGATTAGAATTATCAGAATACACGTATAATTGAATAATAGAGGAGGTGTATAATCAGAGAAGAGGTGAAATAACTTGTCAAACTAAAACAGATTATTTAACAGATTAATGTAAGAAAATCTGAACTTTATTTCCTTTAAAAAATCTGAAAAAATCTTAGCCATGCAGTCAGGCATCAGAAGAGATTGTGTAAACACTCTCAAAATTAGTGCTTATTACAGGTCAGTTCAAATCCAGGTCAAGCCACACGACAAAACAGGTCACAGGAGAGTTAGGTCACACTCCAGGTCACCTACACAAACACTCACACAGACAGTAGGTAAGAATAAACCACACCACACCACACCACACCACACCACACCACTAGAGTGAAAATAACTAACTTACTAATTAGTGTACTGGGACTTACGTTACAAGGTCAGGTCAGGTCAGGTCATAGGTGAGCAGATGGAACAGGCGATGTATGTACAGGTGATTACAGTAAACATAATGAATAAGTAAATACGTAATTATCTCATCATTAGCTCATTAACCTAACGTACAGGTGGAACCAAAAAATAATTATATTCTTATTAAAACTCAAAATACTGAATAAGTAAAAGTAAATCCTATCAAAATACTTACTTATATACTTAACACAACTACCACACTTAAGAAGATTACACCAATACAACTTAGATACTTAAATCTTTACTTAATACCACAGGTTACTTTCTGGTGTACTTAAAAAAATAAAATTTAATACTTAAACACAGAAAGACAAAGGAGTGATAATGATAACTATCTATAATCACCTATAATAACACCTGTACCTCAGTACCTATAATAACACCTGTACCTCATTGCTATAATAACACCTGTACCTCAGTGCCTATAATAACACCTGTACCTCAGTGCCTATAATAACACCCAGCCTCTTATAAACCTGTACCTCAGTGCCTATAACACCTGTACCTCAGTGTCTATAATAACACCTGTACCTC